AAAATAAGGTGATGTGACAATCAACCCCAACTAAGAAAAACATCTTAATGGACTTTATTCTCTCTCTGCATTAACTCTTGTGAAAGAATTACAAAGTAGTTTTGATTGTTTTTACTTACTYATTGCRAAGAGAACCGGTGACATCCGACTCCACACGTGGAACATTGCATGGACTTGTGGAACTAAAAAATTGCGATATTACAGCGTGTTAAATTGTAGCAAGCTATACAATACATTCTCCTCATAAATTTAACCTGATATACGTACRCATTTGCCAAAAACTCATGATAAACACTCACCAGTTTCATTTTCTGCATTCGGCGAAGCCATGGCTGAAATAGGAAGCCAAAATGATAGCGGATTCACTGCTAGCCACTGCATGCATGAATTTTCAGCCATGCGCATTAAAACTCGTCCCAGATCACGAACCGCGTTCAACCGTAGTAGTCTACCGTAGCTGTCCTATCTTAAACTCCCTAATAAGTCACAGAATACGGCCTATAACTGTTCTGGTTGAGTGATATCGACTAATACACATTAAAGCGTTTATCCAGAAAAATATATATTTTCAAAAATACTTATATGTGTGAACAGTGCAGCTGTATGCCGGTTGCCGTATTTTTGAATATTCTTTTCGGAGATTTAAACAATTGAAATATCAAAACGCAAATGACATGATATTATAATGTCATTACGATTTTGAGACGGCAGTACCACGAAATATTGACGGCTAGTTGGGAGAAAATATATTCGGCATTATTCGTCAGAAACCTCAACTTTGAAACGACAATACCACAAAATATTGCTGTCTCAAGAATATAAGAAACTATTTAGTGAATCGCGATACCCATTATAGTTCCCAAGGCCTTCTCAGCTTTCTAACGAAAAATCAATCCCTTCGATTTTTCAGTGAGAAGGATCTGGGTACGTGAATGAGATAATATACACCCTAAATAGTTGTGGGTTTAGGTTTTGAAGCATCACACACGATTAACGCGTAGCTCTTGGCCAAAACGATAGATTTGATCAGATAATCGACTTCTCAGCTTGTAATGGCATACTTCTTTGATTACCACTCTTTTTGTTTCGGCCCTCAGGCCGAAACAGTCACTACGTTTGGTTTGCCGGCCCATAATAGTCTCCGTGCGTGTCATTTAGCTGTCAGAGTTTTGGACCTAATCCAATCATATGCC